TGAATGAAAGGATATGAGCTTTTTCTTAAAGTAAACCTCCAGAAAGCCCTATTGTGACAGACAGATTAAGGAAGTTTCCTTTTCTGTACATAATTAACATGGGAATAATATATGGGTAGTTTCATCTGTGCTAAGGAGAACCAACTTTTGAACTCCTAGAAAGTAAATGAGGGTCACTGCTAAGCAAAAAGCTGCACAGATTTGTCTACAGAATTCTTTTTCTATGCTTTTGTATCTTTTTTTAGATAAAAGAATCAGTAGTAAATCGCTCAGTAAAAAAATCACTATGTTAAAGTTCACCAAAATGTGATGTATATTTAAATTGAGCCTGGGACTGAAAAATGTGAGGCTATATTTAACAAAGATAAATGTTTTGTTTCATACTTTAATTAAAAACCTTTGCAAAACCACCAATTACCACAATATCTGATTTCTATCCTCTTTGCTTAAACAGCCTTGTTAACTAACCTGTTTGCAAAGGACAAGCAACAGTTTTTTAAGTGTCATTTTTATTCTCAGAGAAAGCAAAGATAGCAGAATAACAAAGATTTTCCTCTGATTTTGTTTATGTTTTGGTTTGAGAATTTTTCAGTGTTATAAAAGCAGTGGATGTGTTTTGATACTACTGATGAATCTCACCCATTCCCTCACATTCCCAAGTGCCCACAGTGAGGCACACAAACACATCACTTTTATAGTGGAAAAAAAAAATAGACTGTAATCCTTCTGGCATCACAGGAATATAAAGTTCAGAATCAAATCCAAGCATTAGAAACTATCCTTCCTGATGCATAAAATGATCTGAAAGGAAATAGACCTCAAGCCACAGTGAAAATTCTCCTGACTCAAGAGTCAGCCTCTTCCCAGACACTTTTTTCAGGGGAATTGGTACTGAGCAGTAGAGGATGCAAACACCACTGACCTTGACTTTTATGCAATGTTGTGGTACTCGTGTTTTCAGGTGCTTTTAACTCACCTCAGCTCTTTGGTATGGTGAGGCTTTCTGCTCCTCATCCTTAGAGCATCTCTCTATCCAAATGACAAATTAGAGAGAAGTAAGGGATATCCTTTTTTTTTTTTTTTTTCCCAAAATAATGGAAAAGTACAGTGGTTCTGGTTTTGGTTTCTTTCACACAGATAGATACAAAAGTTATTTCAAGAGGGATAAGGAAATTTAGACACAGTGGTAGGATGACATTTTTCTGTGTATTGCTACATTCTATTTCCTTTGATTTCATCAGGGAAAAATGCTGTGTTTTAAACAGCTTCCTTGTAAAACTTAGTCTAACCCAAGTTCACAATAAACTGGTCCAAAATCAACTTCAAAGTTTTGCTAATTTTGTCCAACTTTGTCCTGGACAATTTAAGCTGGAAACAAGAAGTGAAATTCACTAACTGGAGATTTTTTTGTGATTTGTAGTTGGAAGGGGAATTTTGTACTTTCCAGGGCTGTGTGGGTCTACTTGTATAATAAACAGTATATGCCCCTTCCGTCCCAGGACAAGAACCCCTAGCTGACAATCCCATTCCTCTCAGTGACAGCTTCCTTTGGACCTACCCAGAATAGGTGCTCAAAATCCATGTGAAACTGTTATAAGCCCCTTTCCAAGCAAAAGATAATAAATGTTGCCCATCATCATGCTGTCCAATTTGTTATTAATTATTCCTGTGTAAATACATAAATGTTACTAATAACAATGACAGCTACTTTTTCATTTCAGAAAGCTTTAACTAGTGACTTTCTGTGTGTTTATACTTCTTGTATCTTGCTCTCACAGATATGTATACAGATTTACTGCTACAACAGAGGAGCTGAAAGCTTGATCATACAGTTATATAGCCACTAACATATTTCCGAAATAATAGGTTAATAAAGGTTTCTCACTCTTAGTTCTCAAAGTTCAGGTCCATTGATCCATATATAATTGTTTTCATTAATTATTTTGCCAAATGAGTTAAAGTGCAAAGCACTCCCCTTGACACAAGCACAACATAAAATTTGAAAGCACAAAACCCTTGCCTACCAAACCCAAGGCAGCTGCTCATGGAATCACTGGCCACAGACACCCTACAGACTCTTCTCTTGCTGTACCTTCACTTTACTGCTTGCCACCACAAGCACACTCACAGTATTTTTTTTCTCACTGAAATGGTATTTCCATAGTACTTGAAAGGTCTGGGAAGCTATCAACTGTCTGAAAAGTCAGTTAGAACTGTCATAGTGCCGAGTACTTCACAATCTAGTGTTCAAGGAAATCTTGTAGAAACACAAACATATTGGATTAAAATATTTTCCTACTTGCTTCTTTATAAACCAGGAGAATAAACTCTCCATTACCTAATAGAATTGCACAGATAGAACTGAAGGAGGAATCCAGCCTATGTTGTCTTGTACGTTTTTCTTTTGGCTGTATCACTAGCCCAGTTAAAACTTTGTTTGATGGATGATGTGTATTTCTAGTTGATTTAGCATAATTTTGGGGTTTCAATAATATGCAGATGCCTAATCCCAAGAGCCATTAAGCGTATAAATATTTTTAGCTCAAAGTTTGATATATGTCTTTTGGCTGGTTAGTTTTCAAAATATCTATTTGTACTTGTGCCAAATACTCTGCCATTTCCATACAAGCCTCCAGTTTGTGCACCAGCACTTTATAAATCTCCAAATAAAATCTTCCATGTTTATTTTTCTTAGAGAGAAAATCCCATTTAATAAGTGTGGGCCTCCTTTCTTTATATGCATGTTTCTATTGAGATGGCATCTGTATTCTTTGTAAGTCATTTTGGTGTTTGAGGTGTTTTATTATGCAAAGAGAGGAAATAAAAACAATGCTAAAAATATATTGCGTTTCTATTGTGGGTTTTATCTACACATAGTTTAAAGCACATAATCATCATTTTTTTTGCCTGATGGTACTGGAGAAAGACTAGTGTTATGAGGCTAGGAAGGGGAGAAAAGAGACTTTCCTGGAGTTACAGCCAATATTTTGTCAGCACCTGACACCCACTCCCTTTCTGATAGTGTTTGGTGCCTTCCACCATGTGTGCTTCTTCAAGCATTTAGTTTCTTGAATAAAATTGTGAGCTGTCCTTAAAGGGTGTCAGCAGATATTTTATAACATATATGGATTTTTTTCTCTCATTTTTATATATGCATTTTGGCTGATTAATTTTCAAAATATCTATTTACATTTGTGCCAAATGTAAATTTCTATTTATAAGTGGGTTACTTACCTTCTGGTGCAGGAAGGAGAATATAAAGCCAAGGTAGAAAGGGAAAAGAATGGCACTGGCAGCAGCATCCCTGGTCATCCAGAAGCCAGGCATTAGCCTGGCATTCAGTCAGTGCTCCACAGAGTTAGCATATGAGATCCATCATAGCCTCGATCCTAGTTTTTCAGGCCCTATGCCTTTCCTGAATACCCCAGTAATCACAGAGCACTGGTTACTGCATTTATCCCAGTCCTCACTGGCAGCACTACAGTATATAATCCTGATGCCATGGGCAGTGATGCCTCCAGAGTTAGCTCAGAGCCTTCTCCTTCATTTCTAACCTACGTACCTGGCTGCATGGATGCTTCCAGAGGGCCTCCATGCTGCCATGGAAGCAACCAGGATTTTATCCTGGGCAACCTGGCTTTAAAATATTTAATCCAGGATATCTTAACAGCATAGTAAGAGCAGGCTTAGAGGCTCTGTATGTTCAAATATTTATGCTTCCTGGGTGAGTCTGGCAAGGAGTGCTGCCAAGTGTACTGTTATCAGTGTCCTATGCTGGCTAATTTAAAATTAACTTGGGCACTGCCTACATGAATTGCAGTAACATATTTGACCGAAACCATCATGTTCCTCCAGGCAGGATACCGTGTTCAGGGAGAAGGTGAAGGTGAGATGAATCATTTTTAAAACCTGAGCTACCTCACCAGCTGGAGAGACCGACAGCGTAATTTAGGCAGCTGTATAGCAGCACCAGTGAGAGCACCCTTACACAAGAGAGATGTGAAAGAGGGGCCCAACAAGCAATTTATAGAGTACCTATGCTTGGGATGCCACTGGCAGCTGTGACAAAGGTGAATGGAGGCCTGTGTTTCACACGTGCTCACAAGGTGCTCAGAGAGCTGTGGCCAACAGAGTAAAATTAGGGACATCCTTCCCATGATTTCATAGGTGTGGCAATAGCTTTCAGGAATCGGCATTTATCAGAAACATTTCTTTGAAAAAAAACCCCTAAACACTGAAGAAGTGGGAGAGGAAAATAAACTGATGTGCGAATTTTCTCACTTTGTCTACAGAGTTTTTTCTGGGTGTTAATCCAGAATTAGACCCTGGTATTTTTGCTTGATTATTCACTTTTGAATGAAAGCTACTATATTAGTGTACAGAGGTCAAGCTAAATCATGAAAAGATATCAAGCATCTCGGTGTTTACTTATTTATGGGATTGTTCCAGATGAACACAAACTATCATGAAAATAATTCACAGATTTCCCAGTGCCTTTCTAATAATGTACACAGCCATATCAGGCAGAATCTAGTTAAAACGCTTAATCTGGCTTCAGAAGGGAGCAAGTTCAGTTCCCCGCCACAGAAATGATACGGCACGTGGGAAATCACAGCTTCTGCTCCTTTTGATTTAAACCTAGCACAGCCCACTTGGTTTCTGAATCTCTCCTCTAAGACTCCCTGCTCTGCCAAACCACCTTTTGTGTTTGAGTAGCGCTCTCCACTCATCCGGCTGCATGACCAGCAAATAGTTTCACTTTTTCACTTCACAGGACTATTTCAGGAGCAGGATGAGTATTTAAAATTTGCTGTTTAAAGGAAACAAAAAAACGCAAGCAAGAAGTTTTCCAGGCGCTCAGTCCGTGCCGTGCAGGATTATCTCAGGTTTCCAGTTTCCTAGGAACGTAGTAACTTCCCCGTGGGTTGTTTTGTGGGCGGTGTTTTTGAATATATGCTAATTCAGCTTTCCTGACAGGGAGAGGAGCCGTGTCTCAGTTACACAGCTCTCCTGACAGCCGGCAGTGGCGAGCGGCTGCTGCAGAGCCAGGCCATGGGCTGGCGCTCCTGACAGGATCGCTCGCCCTCTCGTCAGGGCCCGTCGGGGACACAGCACAGCCCTGTCGCTTCTGTCACCAGCAGCGCGGCCGACATGTGCCTGTGACCATGGAGATGAAGGACTCGGGCAGCGTGGTCCTCACAGCCTACCATCCGCACAGCCCGGCCAGGATACCGGGCATGGAGCAGAGCTTTGTACAGGATATCCCTCCCAGCCATTCGCCCGCCAGCAGGTAAAGCCCGAGGGATGGGGACCGGTGCCGTGTCCTGATGTTTTGCCAGTGTTGGACGTGAGGTTTGCTGGCTGTGTGACAGCTTGAGAGCGTCTGCCGACCACTCGGCCACTTCGCGAGCACTTTGCTGTGGCACAGTTTTCGCCTCCACCGGGGAAGTGATTCAGGCCAAGGCTGCGGGTCAGGGTTGGGAGGGGGGAAACGCGAGTGCTTATTTTAAGTCTTGTGAGTCAACAGATCACACCAGTTTCCTGTTCAGGATACTCTACAAGACAATCCCCAGGAAAAAAAGCACGTGAATCAGGCTTCTGCTCAGGTCGCTTAGCACTGTGTTACTGAAAGGGAGATGGCTGGACTGGCTGAGTTTGGCGCTCAGAAAGTTGATTCTGGCTTTGGTTTATAGGATTATAAACCAGTCCCTTTTTTTTTTCTTTTTTTTTTCTTTTTTTTTTTTTTGGAAATTGTAGTTGTTGCTTTGCACACCCACAAGCACACAGTGGGAGACTGCATCGTTAAAGACTTAGTCTAAATTAAGAAAATTCCTTTGTGTTGCAGGAAACTAAGTATTGTCTTAATTAATGCAGTCGTGTGTATGTTTGCCTCCCTGCCCTGTAAGAAAGCCTGTATTTGAACAGTTCAAAAACTAACAATTTGGGCAATTTTATTGTTTTAGAAAATCTGATCTTTCTCTTCACGCGTCTGAGTTTTGCAATTTTCTCCAAAGAAGCAGTATAAAAGTTCATACTTTTGAAAAGTTGAAGAAAGTAGGAAATGCTACTTTGTGCTTTGAGTGAAAAAATAAAAACTAAAGTGTGAGGTAACAGCAGATGGCATTATACCCAGGAATTAAGTCTGTGTCTACTCTTAATAAAAATAATGACATTTACTTCATATTGTTTATTTATAGCCCAATAGCTGTTTTGTTTTCAATGTCATTATTTAGATTATCTGCATCTTCCTGTTCTTTGTGTCTTTCCCTGGCTGTCTCATAAAGATAACTCCTTTGTTCTGTTGAACTTGTTTGAGAGCAGTACCAAAATACACAATTTCATGTTAAGAAAAGAAACAGAGTCTGAGGTTTTAGATGCAATAAGAATGGCATTTGCTACTCAAAACTGAGAGCAGTGGTTTGGCATTGGGTTACTGGGGAGCATGCAATTTCTTGCCCTAGGAAGAGCACTAAACTCTCTCTCTTTAAGTTTGTGAGCAACAGAAATGTGGTGTTTTGCTGGTTTTCTTGTAGGTGTGCTAATTGTTTTAAAATGTACCTGAAACTTAAGCTCAGGGTGTATGAGGGTTTAAATCATATACATAAATCACATACATAGTGCCTACAAAAAGCAGAAGTGCAAATTACAGTTCTTGAAAGAAAAAAAAGAGGATCCTGGCATTTTGGTGGGGAACATATTTTGAAAGCTCCTGCCAATGAGGAAAAGCCATGTGTCTCTCTATGCATCTATATATCCATATCTCTATATCCATCTCTATCTATCTATAAATATATATATCTCCATAGCATTTTGTTGCTGTCTCCCCTTTTTTGTCCTCAACTTCCTGCCGCTGTCTAATAGCAATAGCCAAATTCTGCCATATGGGCAGTCAATGGCTGTCTGACTTTCCAAAGCCTGTTCAAGAGAGGGATTTTATTAACACAGCATGAAGTCCTCTGGAATGCAGAACCCATGAAGGCAAATGCACTGAGTGTTTTAGCAAATGGTAAAATAGGCTCTGGCTTAATCCCTACTTCATCTTCTAAGAACTCTTTCCTGGACTGCATTTTCTGTATAGTTTCCTCTGCCGCCATCCTGATGCAAGAAGTTTTGTTATAGATTCTGCCTGGTGTTCCTTGATCCTGAGGGCAGCTACTAACACTGTGGCATGCTAACTCCTTAGCTCTCCAGGAAAATGATTCAAAAAAAGAACAGAGGTGTCACCTGTTTTTTGTTTGATGACAAAAGCAGTTGGGACTCATAGCTTGACTTTCCTCTGAAGTCAGCTAGGTTAGGTTAGATGTAGCTCTAAAGAAGTCCATACTTGAGATGTATATCTGTGAGAACAGAATGAGTCTTGGATATTAGCCTTTGATTTGATAAGCTGCTGACCAGTTCTCTCTCATCTTAGGAATCAAGGTACTTCATTTTCCTTCCTCTCCTCCTAACATTTCTCTTGCTTTAGAGTGATGCACCCTTTATATCAGAAGAACAGCTCCACTCACAGGAGCCAGACTTAGATTTGTCCTCCAGCTGTTTTCTCTTGCAAAAACTTTCACTTTGGGAACCTTCTAAGTAGAGATTTATCATAGAAAGGGGAACCTAATGCAGCCTCAGTGGGCTTTTAACTGCACTGCTTCCCACCCTTTAAAAACACACTGATAAAAAAGAAGGAAAGACTTAAGTAACTATCATGAGCTGCAAAACTAATTGACTAATCTTTAACACTCTTTGCAATCCAGCACAAAGCTAAGAAGACCATGGACACCAAAGCTTACACCAGCAGCTGTATCAGACCACTTGTATTCACATCCCTCTACAACTCTTGAAGGGCCAAACAGGCAGGCTGTGTGTACATGTCTAAAACACACTGGCAGCATCAGGATCAGCGTGAAGTGTAGCAGATGCAAGTATTTTCATTCCTAAGCCCAGTGGGTATATACGTCATTATAAGTTAGGGGGTATTAGCTGCTGGACTGTAAGGGGAACAGGAGAAAATTTGCTTTAGTTGCTTTAAATGGAAGGTGCATCAGTGCACAAGGGAGGATAGAGAATTCATAGGAGTAATGAAGGGGAGAGCAGGATGAAAGTTTGACTGCATAACGATGCCATCAGCAGTCTGCAAAGGAGAAATCTAGCTTCCAAATGTAATGTTGGATAACATCAGTAAAAAGGTTAAGAAGAGGGACCACAAATTCCAGCTATTCTCCAGAACAAGAGTTCATCTGGGGGACTAAAGATAGCAATACTTAAATATCTTTGCCTCATCTATCTGTATTGTTCAATTATATCTTTATCCTTTTGCTGCATCTTGCAGACTTACTTAACCAGTTCTATGTATGGGATGAGCCCTGAAAACTGCACTGTTGAGTTTCCTAGAGGTCCAGGAGAATTCTGCAGCAAAACTTTCCTTTAATTCTGCTAGTGTAACTAGCAAATTCATTTTCCGTTTCTCTCATTGGATATTAAGGTCCCTTTCCTTTGCTTGCCATCTGCTTAGCATAATTGTAATTGCTGATAGCATTTATTTTAGCTTTTATTTATTTATTTATATATTGCTTGTAAGAACAAGGTGTTGGGGAGATCTCTGTTTTGTTTGCTTGGCAGTGAGGCTGACTCTATGGCATATGAGTATATTGGGAAAGATTGCTGTTCTTGTGGGACGCTCATTATTCTTTTTTAATTCCATTTATTAGAACACATATGTCACAAGTACAGGTACCAAAGACTATCACTTTCAATACAGATACTATCTCAGTGCAAAGGCAAAAGTGCTTATTTCAGTTACATAATGATGAACTTCCCCATACTCATTTCAGAGAATGAAGGACTTTGTTGTTGTGCACAAATACTGCTCTTGGATTATATAGAGGAAAAACGAGGCCATGGCCATATGTCTTCCTCACATCCCCTATTTATCCTGTTAGGAGAAGCTAGGAGGAGTTATTCCTGTGCTCAGAGGAAACAGGCATGACCTCTATGCCAAATGGCCAGTGAGCTCTCTAAGGTAATTATGCAATTAGGGGAGGACAAAGCATTCCTAAGTGAGTCATACTCAAGCTTTCCTTGACTCCATTATGAGACTTACTAAGTTCCTCAACCCGCTTGCTGTTAACATATATAACAGCAAAGAACTCATCCTGCACTGCAAATCATAGATACTTTCACTGGAATGAGTGGCTGTTGCTAATGTGTGCATGATATAAGTATCAGAGGAAAGAAAAAGCACATTCATGAGCTTAGTTCCTGCAGAATGGGATTAGAGCAGCTATTAAAGTGCACATCAAGCTTTTTATACATGGAACAACCTCTGTAATCAATACTCATACAAAGAGCAGCATATATAGTACCAAGCCTAGGAGCTTGCTACATAGGTAAAGGGCTAAGTGGATTTCGGCGCAATTGATCAACACAGCCAAGACCCCTTATTAGCTTCTTCCCTAGTCAACAGCAAGTCTGGTACTTCAGTTTTTTCAGAGAAATGTCTTTCCAATCTCTTTACATTCAGCATGTCTCTCCCCTCCTACAGTTGGAGGGGTGACTTTCAGGTAGACGTCGCTATACTGTAGAGTCAAAAAAGAACAGGAATAATTTCTGTATTGCTTGAAAGATACTGTGTTGATTGAGCTACCTGCTGGCTGGCAGCTTCCAGGATCCCTGCTTTCCAAATCTAAGTCTTGTAGATTTAGGGCCAATATTAATGTCATTACACTTTACATTTTGTAAGCATGACACCAGATTGTTTTGTTATATTCATTCCCCTTTGCAAGCCCCAAGATACTACAAAAATATGTTAGAGTGAGGTAAAGTGTCCTGAAATTATGATTGCATCCCTGGAAAGAAGTAACTGGAGGAAGAGCCTTTATGCACCAAAATTTGTCTTTTGACAAGAGGATCTGTGTACCCAGTTCAGGTTTTATCCCAACAGAAGCAGGTTTTATCATGCTGAAGTAAGGTCTGTATGCCCTGAGGCTGGGTGATCTGGGTTGGATTTCTGTCAGGCTGATTGAGCAGCTCCTCTGCTCAGTTGTATACAAATGATGTCAAGAATGTCTTCTTAGTGATGCAGAATAAACAACCTTAACTATTTTGCATGTTTATCTCACTCTATCATAAACTTCCCCAGAAGACAAAAATAAAAATCTGGCTCCTTTTTCACAGTAAATCTTGACATAGCTTGGGCCTCTTGCAGTAACTTGGACTCAAAACCTATGAAATTAAAGTTTTAAAATGTACTAAAACTGGTAAAAGAAAATCCTACAGATCAGTAGTCTGGGAAAAGTCTGCATT